AGTGCTACCTACCTAATAGGTTTGTCACAAGAACTAAATGAGGTTCTTCAAATGTTCAGATGTACCTGGACTATAATAGACACTCAGTAGATCTTGGGTCTTTATGTTTACTTGGTTTTGGTTTTTTGTTTTGTTGGTTTGTTTGAAACAGAGTCTTTCTATGTAGCTCAGTCTACCATGGAACTTATTTTCCCCTGCTTCAACTTCCCAAGTTAATAGGTTTGTCACAAGAACTAAATGAGGTTCTTCAAATGTTCAGATGTACCTGGACTATAATAGACACTCAGTAGATCTTGGGTCTTTATGTTTACTTGGTTTTGGTTTTTTGTTTTGTTGGTTTGTTTGAAACAGAGTCTTTCTATGTAGCTCAGTCTACCATGGAACTTATTTTCCCCTGCTTCAACTTCCCAAGTGAGGGGATTGCAGGTATGCCACCACACCTGTCTGTTTTACTTTACCCGTCTATGAAATTGCTTCAGCTCTTAAAACCAGAAATCCATGAGAATTAATTTGTATTCTAGAAGGAGCCTTCAGTACTTAGAAGAAAGATGCATTTGAACCGTATCAGATTTTAAATGAGGCATTGTTTCCTGAGTAGAATGTTAATATAATGCTGAATTTATAGCTTCATTTTTTTTTAAATGCCCAATTAATATCCTCTATCTGTGGCCCAAACCAAAAACTTTCTAGAAATTCATAACGGTTTTCACTAATGGGTAACTAGAACAAGTTGCTGATAGCTAAACAAACTGCTTTTCGTTGTGAATTGTTTATAAAGTGAACATGGGCAAAAATTAAGATGCAACCCATATTATCTGTCAAAAGTAACAAATATTTCTTGTATGTGGTCATGTGACTTTTCCTGGAGAGACATGAACAAAATGGACTCACCCAAGTAGGGTGTCCATAAGAGACAAAAGAAATAATTCTACCAAAGTCCAGTTTGGCAAATCATTGAGTTTATTAGGGTTGCTAATAGGAGCAGCTGCATCACTGAAAAGCTCAACCCAGGTTGGGTGACAACCCATGAAGGTTACAACCTTGGAGCTCTGTGTATTGCTTACAGGCAGCATCACAGGTCAGAAAGTCTCCTCTAGGCAGCTTAACTTGTCAGAGTCTGCTCTCCTCAGCACTTGACTGCTTCTGTAACCTTGGGGAGGGACTGGTGAATCTTATGAGTTTCAGCTTAGTTGTGAGGTTTGTTTACTTCCTGACATTCAGGACCTTCCCCTCCTCCCTCCTAGAGGGAGTATTTCAGTTTAGAGGAAACTGCTTCACAGCATTGCATAGTTTTTCCTTCCACAGCTAACATCTATTGGGTACTTAGTACATGCCAGTAACATGGCCATTAAGACTAGCATTCATTATGGTAAGTGATCTCCTCAGCCTGAGACTAAAGCAGTGAAGTAAGTGGCTCAGGACTGTCCACTGCTGAGAGCAATAGTGAAACTCCACAGCCTTACATTCTTAACTGTTTCTTCATATTGATCCCTAGGAACTCGGGCAGGTAAGAGAGAGAAACACACAAGATAGCCATCCCATACAGTAGTATAAATCCAGCAGGCACAGAACTAGAGGAACCTGGGGAAAACCCAAGAGGTTACCAGGGAAGAAACAAAAAAGGGAAATAGATGTTCAAGGCATGCTAGTGGAAGTGGTCTCTGCACATGTGCAGAAAGCATATGTGCTTGGGAAGAGATACATGATACAGCCGAATCCTGGTGTGGGTGCAGGCTTCAGGGTAAGGGAAGGAGTTTAAGCTTCAAGCTGTGGACTTCTAGGAGTTTTCTGAATTCTTTAACTAGGGTAGCAGTGTCAACAAATTGTTAATTCTTGGTAACTAAAATTTAGAAGGAATTACCTGGTTTCAGGGAGCACTTTAAAGATATTTTAAGCAACTAGAGGAGAATTGATAAAGGGCCTTTTGAGCCAAGGCAGTTGTGCTTGGATTGAAAGGATTAGAGCTGTGTAAAGGACTGGGTGAGTGGAGGGGAGACAGGCAGAGGTGGTGGGACACAGGCACCAAGCAGTTCTCTAAGCAAACAGTTGGGTCATTGCTGATGCTGTAAACTGGCATAGGGAAAGGGAAGCTTTGGAGGAAAACTGTGCTGGCATGGTTCACAGAAAATCCAAGGGGAGCTTTCGTGAGTTGGTGAGAAATATCCATCTGTGGCAGCAGCTGAAATTCAGATCTTAGTAACTGGTCTGTTTAAGTGTTAGCAAAGTTCGCCATTTTTGCATATTATAGAAGCATAGTCCATTAAGCTTTGTGGTGTGTCTGCTGTGCTATTAATTCCCCACAGTTTACTGATCAACAAACTCAGGTTTCAGTAACACCATAGCAATTAAAAGCAGGTTTTTAATGAGGTTTTTATAAGTTTTAAAAATTACCAAATATGAGTTTTTCCATTGCATAAATATGAATAATTCTTTAGTTTGACAGACTTTGCTGCTTTCTCATGCTTTGTTTTTGTAACAATCACTGTTATTTTAAATTTTCATTATTAATTTTGTAAATTCATGACTTTATGGTCTTATACAAATTAAGAATCTTATTGGGCCAGTTTATTCTGTTCTTACACACAGATAGGTGTATATTGCTTCCTGAGGAGTAGGAAATAGTGAGAACTCCGGTGTGTGTAGATCAGATTCTAACCCTCAGCTCCATCTGAGCTCCCTTATTTCAACTTTTGAGCATTCATTTTTACTCTTAAAAACAGGGACTGGGACGTGATGCTCCCTAAACTCTCTTCCAGTTCTGAAAGTCAACATTAATTCTCTGAATGTTTTGCTTCTCAAAGGGGGCAAAATATACTTGAGACCAATTCTTAGAGCTTTATCTTCAGTGAATATACAGCAGAGTTGTGTGATTTGAAGACTTGAAAGCTATATTCTTACATAGTTGAAGATGCTGACCTACTTAGCTTACATAAACTGTAAAAACTATTCACTTCTCAGGGGTTTATTAGAGAAAAGGAAGGGGTCAGAGAGGGGCAAAGGATAGGTGGAGGAGGCTAATGGGGAGGGAGTGGTCAGAATATGTCATATATAGGTATGAAGTTATCACAATGAAATTCATTACTATGTATCATTAATATATGTTGGTATTAAGAAAAAGGAAAAATTACTTCTCCAGCATGAGAAGCACTGTTCATAAGTATTTTTGTTTGAAAAGAAATTTTCAAACTAAAACTATACAAATTCATATATCTTTTAGACCTCAGAGAAACTACGAATAGATTATAAAGTTTTGTTGTTGTTGTTTATTGGCTTGCTTGGTTTTTACAAGGCCTGTGAATATAAAATATCAAATAGGTGAACACTCAAAAATAAATTGATTAAATCAGTTTTATTTATAATAGGGCCGGAACTTTTTTTTAATTTGCAAAGAATTTGTGCCTCCAAGAAACTAGTTTGCTTTTACTAATTTTATATCTTATAAATAGAAATTGATGTGGTACATAATGTTCTTGAATAAGAACATTAAATGGCCCCCAAAATTGATTAAATCAATTCATCTGAGGAGCAGAACTGCATTTTCATTGTAGGAAAAGTAACTACAGAGGACTTCTGAAGAGGGTGAAAAATGCAACCTCATCGATGGGGTTATCCACGTGTGACAATGCTGTCAGTCTCTAAATTGCCTTTTGAAATCATTGATTTGGAAGTTTAAGAGAGAGAGACTGGAAAAACGGCCAAATTTACACTGCTTCTGGTTGCACCTTAATATGAGCATTTGGTTTTTCTAATGACTGAGACGTAGTTTAATAATATTATGATTTTAATTGAAAGTTTCAATTGTAGTGAAATTGAAACGTAATTAAGATCCATATGTTATCTTAGTCCTTTTTATATTTAGTCTATTGTATTACTAAAAAGTAAGGATTTTTTTCTCAGAAGCTTCTTGGTACACTGAAACCAGTATTAGTGAAATGATATTGTGCTTCATAAATCAGCTGTACTATGGGAATGTCAAAAGTAAATTTGAAACCTGCTCTTAAATTTAATACATCTGAATTTTACACATGAGGAAAATGATTTCAAGGAGCCAAACTTTTAAGTGAAAGCTTCTGTGTTTGCTGTTGTAGAAGTGTGACTGAAGATAAAAAGCAGGGTCTTTAGTGATTTTAGCAGTCAAGACACGAAGGAGCAGAGGATGATGACAGAATTTGTTGCCACTCTTGGATAGAGGAAAGCCTCTTGAGTGGACTCTGAAGCCTGAAACAGCCTTCAGTGGCCATTAGAGGAGCAGTGTTTTCCGTGTTCATTGGAGAGCCCCAAGGCATTTCCTAGTAGGTGGCAGACTGCTCTAAAAATTGAAGGTCTGTTACTGGCCAGTGCAACTCTTAATTCAGTGCTGTGAAGATCAAAACTAGGGCCTTGCACATGATAAGCAAATGTCTTGCTACAGACAGTTTACATTTTAAAATGAACAAGTAACTGAGTTGGTGAGGATACAAATGTTCTGCAGTTAAGGACAGATGCATCGCTGGGATGTGGAGGAAGGGTGTTCTGTAATCAGGGTGATTGTGAGTCAGTTGGGGCTTTGCAGCTGCTGCTTTTACTGCCTTTTTATTACAAACTACTGTTGGTTTCATAATAGTTTAGCTTCTGGATTTGTTCATCCTCAGAGTAAGTTGTGATATATATTTTACAATAACTAGGCTCAAAGATAGGTTAGACGCTGTTAAGTCACAAATGCAGGAACGCTGCATACTCAGGACTGATTCAGCAGAAGAGTAGAAGGAAGGGTGGGTGGCTTGAGGCAATCTTCACACCCAGGAAGATGCTTCTCCCATCTTCTGTTGCTTTTCACCATTCATTTAACACCATTTTTCATTGGCTTGACAGCATAAAACTATGTAGATGCTTACAGACGGCAGGCAGGCATGTAAGTAGAGAGTAGACAGATGTAAGGTGGCATGCGATAGCTGAAGTATGTACAGTATGAGTAAAACAGAACAGTGCACCTGGCTGGGCTGAACAGGGACAGATCTGTCCAGGAAGTGCTACCAGAGCTAGAGGTAGAAAAATGCATTGAATAGTTTTAATGGGCTGTGGCAGTGCATGGTGGGAAGGGGAATATGTCAGGAGTGGCATAGACAGACACGAGTATGCATATGGACTGAGGGTGACCCATTGGGTCCTGCAGGTGCTGCATTTATGGTTAGAAGAAACAGGTTGATATGCCTGTGTTGCTGATATTCTGGTGGAAGAGGCCCTATTCATAACAGGAAATATAAAATGGGGGACCAATTCCTATAGCAGGTTATATCAAGAGTCTTTAAAATAAAGGAGAAGGGGACCCAGGACATTATTATAAGAAAGTAATGTCCATAAAGTTTTGTTTTCAAGTACATTGATTGTAGTGGTATGTTCAGTAGCAGGAAAAAATGTGTGGGTGGAGAGAAGAGCAGACAGCAGGGCCTACTAGAAGATGGAGAAGCGTCAGTTCAGACACTTGCCTTTAGGAAACTTACGTTCTGGTGGGGTTGAGGGTGCAATTAGGAAGCTGTTATGTAGAAGGCCAAGCAATAAAAAAAGAATATTGTGACAGGTATAGATGAATGCTCTAAGGAGTAGCAGAACTGGACCAAGGAGTTGACAAGTGACAAAAAGTGGTCACCGTAACTCAGGGAGGTAAGCTGATATTTAAATGAAGGCCTGAGGAATTAAAAGAACAAGTCATAAAAAATAAAAATAAATAAAAAATTCCTGGCAGAAAAGCGTGGGAGACAGGAAATAGTCTACCAAAGGGTGTGAGGTGGGTGTTAGATACGGTTTCAGACCAGTTAGGGAGTTCATGCTATCTGAACCATTGTGTACATGGCTGGATCCTAAGCAGTAAGGCTGTTTGTTTATAGAGATACAATGGATTATAGATGAATCTCACCTTCCTTAAGTAAGGGGAATTAGATACTATTGGTTCAGTAGGGAAATAGAGAGTGTTTGATGTTTATTTTTCAGGGTGTTAACGTGATTTGGATCTCTGTGTATTCAGGTCTGCCTGTACTATTTAATGTTACTTATATGTACTGCTTTTTCCTCTAGAAACCTGAATCTATATTGGAATTTTACCGAGAACTTGGATTGCCACCAAAACAGACAATTAAAATCTTTCATGTAACAGATAATGCTGTAATTAAACCAGGTAATCTGAGGTCGGGGAGAGGAGGGAGGTAAAAATATCCAAATACATGATTTGTTTAATGTCAGCCCTTTCAATAAAGCTAAATCCAAAATACAAAGTCCCAAACATTTATTTTTAAATATAAAACCGTATGTGATTTAATCACTAGGAACAAGCAAGTCTTTGTGTCTGGTAAGTGGGAAAGCTGTAGGGTGCTCTTTGTTCTCCTTGAGAGGGAGGAGAGTTTCACATTTTTAAAAAGCCTCTCCAGATAAGTGCTCTAACTTTTAAACTGTTTGTTGTTTGCAGGCTAGTTCTTACAGCTAGGCGTTCCCTCAGAGAAAGAGAAAACAGCCTGTACGACAGTGACTAACCTTGGCCCTTTCACTTGAAGATTCTTATTTAAAATGTCCCCAGACTTTACCTGTCCATGGAATGCCAAAAATAAAATTCAGCATATGAGTCTGTTGATTCATATGGCTAATAAAATACATTTGATGTATTTGAACCTCAAGAAAGCCCCTGATTTCTTGAACTTAAACTGTCATAAGAAGATGATAGAATTTTTAAATTCAAATTTTATAACTCGAAGGCAAAATAAATGGAATTACACAAAAATTAGTAGAAGTGCTTGGGTCATTATATATTGGTGTGATTTATAATGGCCATATATTCCACTTTAAGTATGAAGGAATATTTCTAAAATACTTGGTTTTGTAGACAGTTGTTCTGAAGCAAAGTTAAGAATTCACTTCGATTTAACACATCTAACTTTCTTAAACCCTCTGTTCGTGTTTAGGATAGTTATAAAAATTAAGTCCACATTAATTTTTCTGTAGCTCTGACAATATTAAATTACATTTTTTGAGTCAAAAATAGTCAAATAGTAGTTTAAGTTGTTGAACCTCATAGAAATGAGATCCCTTGTCATTTTAAAAACTCTTTTTAAAGTTAATACTATTTGATTGCTACTCATAATTGCTGTCTTTTATAGGGTATAATGTGATGATCTGATACCCATAGAATGAAGTCCCTAGTTAAGGTTTTGTTTTTTCCACACAAACTTTAATCCTACCTTAAAGAAATGACTCTGAAATCCCACTGCACCCCACGTTCCATACTAATTAAACTGAAACCAGTTTTCAGTTACGTTCTCTACCACACTGATTCCTGAGTTCTTCATTTTCTTCTCTTTTTAAAAAAATCTCTTATTTGGTGATGTAGTGTTGATTCTTCACCAAGATAGTCACTTTCTGAGGTCAGGGGCCATGTCTTTTACTTTTCTAGCTGACCCTATTTGTAAGTGCCCTCTAAGTGTATGTTAGTTGTTGCATTAAATACTTCTCATAAATGCTATTTTCAATTTTATATAAAAATACCATAAAGGACTTTATTACTTTTAATCATTTTAATACTATTTCTCATGTACATTAAAAATTACGTTTTATTTACATGTAGCTGTTTTATAAATGTTTCTGTATAGAATTAGGAGTATCTATAATGATAGGTTTTGGCTAATCCAGATATCTGGGCTATGCTTGGTGTAATACACTTAGTTGATATAGTACCTGGTACACAAATAATCTGACATGAGTAGATATTTTATGAACTTATATAAACTGTAATCATTACCTAGCAAAGAAGAGACTGAGTCCAAGTCATTACATTTCCTGGACCAGTGGATGACCAAAGACCATTAACCCCAACATGCTTTTAGTTCTTCTTTTGTTTTTGTTCCCTTGTGTGAAATAGATAATACACTCAGCTACCTAGTCATTGAAACAACCACAAATCACCAGACTGTTGCCAGCAAGAGCACTGCATTGTCCCAGACTCAACTGATTCGGAGCAGTACCATCTAGTCCCTGTGAAGGCACAGGCCTGTCAGCCAGCTGAGGCCTGGTGGCTCACTTGAGCACCCTGTTCTCTGTGTTGCTCATCCTCAAGGAGAACATGTTTGCTTCATAATTTCATTGTTTGGGTGTTTCTAATGTCGATAGTTGCAGAAGATCCAGTTTTTGAGGTCCCATAGCTAGCAGGCTTGGCAGGTGAAGTTTCTGTGTAATGAAGTTGTGTCTGTGCTGACAGGTAACGCTGGATTTTGTTTTGTTTTCGTAAAGGCACTCCTCTTTATGCTGCTCACTTTCGTCCAGGACAGTATGTGGACATCACAGCCAAAACGTAGGTCCACGCGGCTCTCCTCTCCTTCTGTTTTCTTCATGTATTGAGAAAGAGCAGCATGGGTGAGAGGACTGCATCTTCAAGTTTGTGAGTGAGGACAGATGTTCTCACCAATCTGATCTTTAAGGCACTACCAACTGGTTTTAAAATTGTACTGATTCCTTTCATGCCATGAGTTTACATCAGATGAACCAAGATGTGTGCTTCTGCAGTGGGGCTCAGAAAAAGGTCACGTTACTTAGGATTTCACAATCAAATTGTGTTGTCTTCTGCTTTGAAGACCAAGACAACATGCTGCTTGACTGAAGCACACAGCAGTTCTGATGGGTTCTTTTGTGATGGTTGTTATATAGTTTAGTTAGGGGCTGTTCTTTCCAGTTACAGGAAATAATATGCTATTTGCAAAAGTGGTTTTTGTAAGTGTCTCTCAATATAACTGTAAAACAGTTTTGTTACTATTTTATTAGAAACTAGAAAAAATATATATCTCAGGTCTCTTCAGAAGCATGTTGTTTTACTGCTTAGTTCTAGATAAGTGAGACTCTTCTGTGAAAGCAACTGTTTTTATACTTCAAGCATTTATTTGGTAGAGGTCAACATGTAATTGTCACTTTGTAAGAGAAGTGCTGACTTGGAGTTGTTCAGTCCATCAGTGTCGTTGGTGCCTTGATTATTGTACCATGTGGCACAGTACTGACTGTGATCCCCAAGAAATCCTTCGATCTTAGAGAAGTGGCTTTTCAAAAATGAGTTGTGGAATAATCACTCCCATATAGATGTTTACATAGAAGCTGTTCAGTGTAGGCCATTGGAATTCACATGACTAGGATAGACAGGTTTCCAGATACCAGTTATTATCCATTCCTTTCTCAACATGGATCATAATTTCTTTCTTTGTGCCTCCATTTTCTCCTATTATCATGTGGCAGTACTAAAAGGATGTTCCCACTAGGAGCCCTTTGTAAAGCACAGGTGGTCTTGGGCCTCTGGGAGAGCCAGAGCAGGTGGTTTTTGTTTTGGGATGCTCATGATGAAACAGGGCAGCTGTTATGGAAGCCTGATGAGGCATGCCACCCTTAGTTTCCTTAATGCTGGCAGTTAGGTATATTCACCTATATGCCATGGTCACCTCATTTCAAATATAGGCCATTGCAAAAGCTGCTAGGTGTCCTCATCTTTGCTCAGCTGTGTAGCAATGAGGTGGATAGATTGGTAGTGAGATGACTCTTTAAAAAGATTCTCAGCCTGTCCCTTTTATTTTTCCCTGCTTCCCAGTCAGGGCTGGTTACTGTAGCCAGTAAACTGCTTATTTGTCTCTTGGTGACTAAATCTTTTCTGCTTTCTAAGCTTTGCTTTGGTTAGCAGACGAGGATGTGTTGTGAAGCAGGTGTGTGTGTGTGTGTGTGTGTGTGTGTGTAATATATGTATATTGTTGTTTGTATTTTATGTATATGAGTGTATTGCCTGAATGTGTGTAAGTGCACCCATGTTGTGTGATGCCTGTGGAGGACAGAAGAGGGTGTCAGATTCCCCTAGAACTGGAGTTAGGACAGTTAGCCTCCATGTGGGTGCTAGGAATCGGTCCTCTGCAAGAGTGGTCAATGCTTTTAACTGCTGAGCCATTTTTCCAGCCCCAGATACTATATTTTTTTAAAGTTCTGAATTATTACAAATGATAGGCCACTTTGATTAATCCTGTTAATTTATAATGGTGCTGTGTGAATTCCATTATATAATTTACAGAACATATACAATAACTGAGAAACCATGCAAAGTCAGAGGCTTTGGTCAGCAGGTGTTTGTTGTCAGACTTGTGACTAGCTTAGCTTAGAGTCTAGCTTTTCAAAGGTCTGCGCTCAGTAAATGCTCTCATCTAACATGCTGCTGGGTGTTTTAAAGTTATTTTTGAAGCTTCCATCTTGTGAATATAAAGTAAAAGGGAAAGGGCTTTTGTTTTGTAAAGTCATAGTCCTAAAAAAAACAAGATAAAACAAAAGAGCCGCAGTAGCCCCAACAAACCAAGGTTATGTGAAACTATGTGGCAACCTCTAGCCTAAATAGCAGATAAGAGCTGGGGGAATAAATAGCCTTAGGATTTAAATCCCTGATGGTCAACTCTGGAAGAGAAAGGAGAGCTACCATTTGAGAAGATCCTTGCTGTTACATATGTGGGATATAGGAGTATTCTGTTTGACTTTTGCTGTATAAGGGACTAGGTTACACCCCCACCCCCACCTCCCACAGAGGTTTGCTGTATTCTGGTCTGTGCACCTTCATAGTGACTGACTTACCTGAGATCAGATTGAATTGGTTTTTATGTAGCTGTTAAATGTTTCCACTGATTGCAGCTCTTATAGCTAGCATGTTACTATATTCCTCAGACGATTTTAAGTGCTTATAGATGGGGATCTTCTCGTGTGGAACTTGAATGCCCAATAGCTGTGCACCGTCCTCGGTGGTGCCACCTCTTTTTCTTCCTCTGTCTTCCCTAGGGTGTGGGGCTTCGGGACATGCTCATATGTATGCACTTGCTTTTCCTTTTTCCTTTTGACATTTTTAGTGCCCTTTCCCCATGCTTCTCGTTCAGGGGGAGGTTCCCCTGTTTGGAGTTTAAGGTCCTTCATTGCCAGTCAGAGCCCTGTTAGCTGAATGGAACCATCATCTTTTGAGTAGAGGTTTTCTGTCCTCTCAGTCCCTTATTATTGAGGCTGATTCAGGGACAGGCTTCTGGCTTGTCCTCCATTTCTAGCCTGTTTTAAAATTTCAAGACTTCTGAGCTCCATCTTCTTTGTTACTTATCTTGTTAGAGCTGCATGCACATTGGAGAAAAACAGTTGTGCAGAGCCATGGTGGGGGCTGGGGGTGGGGAAGACCAGCTGCTTCAGGGGTACCCACACCTGTGTGGGCTTTAGAGTCTCCTGAAGGGCTGATTAAGCACAGCCTGACAGGCCAGCCTCGGAGCTTCTGACAGTTCTAAGGAATTCCCAGGTGATAAGGATGCTGCCTGTCCGGGAACACGCTTTGAGAACCACTGCTCTCCCCCGCATGGAGTAGAGAATGTTTTCTCATCCATTTGGAAGAAAGAAACTGAATTCATCCAGTTTCCAATAATATTGCCAATAAAGCGGAAGCTTAAGTAAGAGATAATCTAGGGTAGTGACTAAATGACTTGGCCCTCAACAGCTCTATGACCTAGGCAAGTTTCTTAACCTCTTGACTGCTCCATCTTTAACCTAAGAATAATTATAACACTTAGCTCAGTCCTGTACTTAATAAATGCCCAGGAGTATCAGCTGCTGTCCTTATCACTGCTTTTTGTTTAGAATTTAAAAGAAACATTGCATGTTTTCTTCAATAAGGAATACTTTTTAAAATGAATAGAAAGTCATTAAGAATTCAGTTCTGGGGCTGGAGAGATGGCTCAGTGGTTAAGAGCACCAATTGCTCTTGCAGAGGACCCAGGTTCGATTTCCAGCACCCAGATGGAGGTTATGAACCATCCTTAACTCCAGTTCCAGGGGAATCCAAGCCCTCTTCTGACCTCCACAGCAATGCACGACACGGGTGCACTCACATAAATGCAGGCAATACACTTATACACATAAAATAAAAATAATAAAATATTAAAAAAATATTTAATTCTGGTATCTTTAGAGTTTTACATAGCAAAGTAGTAGCTTTACACAGTGGTCTAGGTAATGTGAAAATCACATGTTATTACCTCTAGAGTTTATAAATTAATGAGGATGCCCTTGAAATGACTTCTTGCCTCCCTGATTTCCTGGGGTATTCTCATTTTGTCCTGATCCCTTGTTTAGGAAGCAGTATGACCTGGATTGGAGGCATATCTAGATGTGGGTTTGACCTTAAGCAAGTGGCTTAACCTGTCTGGACTTAGATTTCATTATCTTGAACATGAGAACAGAGGGCTAGATAGTATATCAGGTTTCTTTCAATTCTGAACACCTGTTTCCAAAAATATAATTATCCCTCAGTTTTCAATCTAAGTGGCATCACTTGCCCTTACTTATGTAGCTGAAGAAATAATAATTGGCAGCAGTTTCATGGCTGAAACAATATGGCTTCTAATGCACCAGCATAGTACCATGGTAGGAGTCCTTCAGAAACTGTTGTCCTTTCATGGTTTTGCAGAATTCCTTATTGGAGCTATTTGTTGATTTAATAATAATTTTAATTGAATTTTTGGATACTTCATACAATATATTTTGATTATATTTAGACTCCCTCCCCTATGTGCACTCCTCTTATAGTCCCCCTGCCGAATTTCATGAACTCTCATATATGTTAAGGCCTATCAAACCAGGTTTATGTCTCCAAATGTCTTTTGGTGTGCGTCCGTCCCCTGGATTCTGGTTAACCTATCTAGTGTCACATCCTTAGAGAAAACCAACTCTCTATCAGTTGCCAGTAGTTCCTCAGCCAAGGTTGGGGCTTCTTACCCTTCCCCACTTCTGTGCTGGGATTTTGTGTGGCTTGAGCCTGCATGGGTCTAGTGCATGCTGTTATCCTTGCTGTGAATTCATATGAGGAACTTCCCAGCTGTCTAGAAAACTGTTTCCTTGTGGTCAACTACCACCTCTGACTTTTACAATCATTCCACCCCCTCTTCTCCTTTTATTTATTTACTTTTAGAAAAGAATATTGACACTGGACACCTTTAATCCCAGGACTCAGTAGGCAGAGGCAGGCAGATCTCTATGAGATTAAACCAGCCTGGTCTGCCTGGTGACTTCCAGACCAGCTGTGGCTACAGGGAGACCTTGTCTCAAAAAACCAAAACAGCAACAAAAATGGCAGATTATCTTCAGGAGAACAGCAGATATAGTTGTGTTCGGGTATCTTTAGGACAGCCAGGAAGTGGGAGTCAATGCACATTTGGTCTTTATACTAAAGAATAAGCTGGATTTGGTATCAGAGGAGCTCCAGGCAGCCTCAGTCTCTAGTTGATAAAAATGTTCCCAGTTATTGATGGGAGGCTT